GGAGAATACAGCTCCTGAATATAGTGCTGAATACTTCTGCCTCTGCTGCGTGTACGTACAGCCATGTAAAAAGACAGATTGAAACAAACCTTGAAGCTCTGGAATATGCCGAGGTTCTGCTGTCTGAACTGGAAGTACTGGGCCAGCAGTCTGAAGGTTTCTACCTGGTCGAACTTCCGGGCTCTGAGGAAGCGAAGGATGAAGTCATCGTCTGTCCGCAGGAAACCGATGTCCGGCCGCGTCACGATCATGTCCCGCACCTTGGTTTAACACAGAAAAACAGGAGAATCGCCACCTTAATGTGCTGGGGGGTTTGGGTGTCCTGGTGATACTGGGAGCTGTGTAGCCTCTGGTAGGGCCTCCCAAGGAAAACTGGTCCCAGGGGAGGGGCCAGGCTGTGATTCATAACCCTGATGAAAAAGGCTACCTCACCCAGCACAGAGATATTTAAACCCCTCACCCATGAGGCCCAGCTGGGCACAGGCAGAGGTTTCATAGAGCCACCACTCTCCAGCTGGGCATGGGCAGAGGTTTCATAGAGCCACCACTCTGTGAGCCCGCCACCTGCAAAGATAGGAACCAGGGTTGGATGTAGTGCAAGCTGAGTGGTAGATGAAGGCAGGGACCTAGGCCTGCTGATCCTAGGTGTTGTAGAGTGAACTTATGGAGGTGGAACTTCACCTCTCTGGTGAGGAAGGAGCCAGAATTGGTGCTAGAGGTGGAGCTTTCCAACTAGTTGGGCTCACATTCATGCACAGCACTGGTTGGCGAACCAAACTCATGGAAAGGGACTAGACTTTACTCAAGTTGCCCTGGGTGAGAGGCATTGGGTGGGGTGGGGATACTCATGAGAGGGTCACCTCAGTGCAACAGGAAGTTGCTGAGAGGAAGACTCTGGTAGCTGTCTGTGTCTACGCACCAAACAAATCCCAGAGTATCCGGTGTTCTTGGAGTCTCCAAGTGGTCTCTTGGCAAAAGGTACTGCCTGCGGAGTCTTCTGTTCTGCTGGGAGACTTCAAACCTACATGGATAACGATGGACGAACCTTTAAAGGGGTGACCAGGAGGAATGGCTGGTCTGCTCTGAGCCTGTTTTAACCTGAACCCTGAAACGAAGTGTTTTGTTACTGGACTCTAGTCATGGCTTTACCACAACCAACTCCATGTTTGAGCATAGAGTGATTCCTACGTGCCAGAACACCTGAGGCCTAATATTGATGATCAACTTTGATTTTATCATTAGATATGTGGTACTATTGGTCTATGTGTCTCTCTAACAACATAAAATAACTCCGGCCTCATGCTTTAAGCTCAGTTGGGCTTTGAGCTATACAGTATGTATTTTACTGCTGTGATGCAGGTGTGTGGTTGTGTACCTGTTGGATGTCCTGATGCAGAGTGTCTGGGTTTTCATTCAGCTCTAAACGAGCTTTCTCTGTCATCTCCAGTCTCAGGCCAGTGTGTAGTTGTGTCATCTTGGAGTGTCGCTGTCGTTTGTTCCTGGTGAGCTCCTGTACCACCTGTCGTCCCCTAGATCAGTTTGAAAGACTCTGTTTATCCACGTTTGATGCCTTTAGTGTCCAAGTACTTCTTTTAATCCAGCTGCTGGGCTTTAAAGTCCAACATGTGTTTCCAGTTTTGAAACGTCTGGTGCTAGTTGTTGTCCAGTCCTTCCTGACTCACTTGTTTAAATGTGTTAAAGTCTTTGCCCTTTTTGTTTGTAACACAATCTTATTTGCTGTCTGAGTTTGTGGTGTCTCCACATTTACAAAAGGTAGTAAGAAAGAAACTGCTTGATCTCTTGAATTACACACAATCTTGTGTCAGAAAGAGACAATCGTGGTCATCTTTACGTATGTTGCCCAGTCCACCGCCGTTTATTTTTGAGTTAGACTACTGTCCAACAAGAACATTTTATGAATCAACAATCACTGATGTCTTTTTCTACATTGTTGGTTCTTTAGAAGTGGAAAGGCCCGGCCTTTTTGCCTTTGGATTGAAGTGAAGTCTGTTTTTGATAAGGCAACTTGGCTTGATGTGGGATTCCTCAGCCTACCAGAAAGGATAGAAACACAATAGGTGACATTTTCTTTAATAGGACTTTTAATAAATCCTGTTACAGACCATGTTTTGAAAAAAATGCAATATGGAACAGCTAAAACCATAGTTTGATGATTGTGGAGTTTAAAAGGTGGATAACATTAAAAATTATCTAAAGACGCGTTCTCTTACCGTTGAGGTGTAAAAGAACTTTCCTCACAGTAGTTACCCTGAGTCCTTGTCTGTAACCCAGTTTAGTAAAGCACATTATCTCACACAAGATTTGACAGTATTTGAACAGGTTTTGCCTTCTATTTATCCTGTGTAGAGTCTCTGGTGTACAGAGTGATAAAGGTGGCCAATTAGTCCGGCAGTCGAACCCAGAATCTGGCTGCTCTCTTTTAATTTCTATGATGTACCAGAGACAGTCAGGCTACCAGTTTTACATTTAGGGCAGGATGATGAAGAGCCTGCCCAGAGTTTACTGCTCTTACTGTGAAGTATCCCGAGTCGCAACACTTTAGTTTTATTACTGAGAGTGAACTTAGCCACATTATGTTCCTTCTGATCTTTCTTACTCGAGTGATTTCCTGGCTTTTCCTCCAGCATCGTCATGAACTTGACATGTTTGTTTTTAATTAAACATCTCAAACACTACTGGATGGATTACCATGAAAACTGGTTCCCCAGACAATGAATCCCACTGATTCTGTGACTGACTGTTCATCACCAGGTCAACATTTTAATGTGTCCAGTACCAAATACCTGGCACAGCATGTCCTTCAGCCTCCACTGGACCCTGTGTTTAATGCTAATTACCAAATGAACCCTCTACCCAATAAAACATGCCTTCTCATGGTGAGTATGTTTGCATGTAGTCCAGCCTCACACATCTGAAGACTTCTCTTATTGCAACTTGTAACTCCATGCACTTTGCAATGTTGGGTTTGGAGTTAATAGTATTTAGTACACTTTTGTTTTTATGTACTTGTATGTTCATAACATTTACATTTTTCTGCTGCATTTATAGCCCACTACAAGGTCAGTGTTTAATGTATTATTGTGTTTAATGGAGGTTGGTCAGACCATCAGTTGACCGCTTGCTACCCCCACCCCGCCCTCAACGCATCCCCATCTGTTCTTCACATGAATTGTGTCAGATGTGGCACAGTCTGTCTGCCCACAGCATAACGAAGAACCAGACACAGTTAAAGGTCCCGTGCGGCTGTACCTTACATTTCCATTGCTGAAATCAAACATGAAAAATAAATCTGTCTGAGATGAGTATATGTTGCTCTGGTTCTACAGTGGGGACGTAATGATGCTCAGAAAGGGTTTGTCTTTGCGGTTGTTCTCCCAGGACGAAGGTTTGTCAGTTTGAGGATCAAAGTGACCCTTCTTATTGGGTTGTGTGTACGTGTGTGTATCATTACCAGTTGTCCTCACGCGGAAGCACAAACCTACGCGTCTTCAGGAGGTGAGCACATTTAGCTAAGCTTTTGTGCGCATTTCAAAGCATTTGGTGTATTTTGTATTATTTTCTATTGTGTTTCATTAGAAATGAAATCTAAATACTCACAGCGGAGCGACCTGCTAGGTGTGCTGGCTGAAACCCGGCCGCTGTGACCGGCCTGTCGACCCTCCGCTGGTCGTGGTGCTGATGCTGCAGCCGGTGATGAGGTCAGTGGCCATCGGTTAAAAAAAAAGAGTTCCGTCCGAATTAAAACTAAACGAGCATGAAAAATAATTAAAGGTTCTTGAAATCACGAGAGATGATTAAACCCAGTCCATGTGGAGGTGTGTGGGCATCGTAACGTGAGAGGAGGAGGAGCCGAGTGTGAGATGCGTTTCCACTTTGTGCTCTGAGACGACGTCAGACTGCTCCGAAACGGTCAAGTAAATATAATAAGCAGCAGCACTTCTGGTCGTCAAAACAGGGTTAGTCAGTCTGAACAGATCCTAGGTTGTATGTGGACACTGTGACCTCTCTTCTTCTCCCTGTCACTCCGATTTTCTGTACTGGACCACCGGCCTTTCCCTTAGCTGTCAGTGTTTGTTTTGGATGTTTGGATCTGGAGTATTTTAATCATTGACCGTAATTAAAAACTTTTATTGTGAAGGCTGTCAGTAGCCTCCTTGGACTGTGACGTATTTCCTGTTGTGCCATTGGCCACCAGTGTTGCCAACTTGGTGACTTTCTCGCTAAATCTGGCGACTATCCAAATCCTCTTGGCGAGTTTTTTGTCAAAAGCGACTAGTGACAAATCTGGCGACTTTTTCTGGTGTTATTGGAGACTTCTTTTGATTTGGAGACTCTGATGTGAAAGCACATATTGCCCTGCAGTTACTGTCCTCAACAAGCAGCGGGTGCTGCCGTGAGCCCCTCCCCCGTCCCAAAGCACCCATAGGCGTTCAGTCTCACTGTAGCCTCGCGTGGCAGTCCCAGCTGCATGCACAAAGCCGCCGCTGATCTCGCCCAGTCTTACAGAGCGGGACAGGATGTTGTTCTTGAAATTTCACAGATCAAAATGCCTGGCAACAAGATCACCAAATGAGGGGTCAGAACGAGGTCAACAAACCAACCAAGGAACGAGGATGAAGGACAACACGGATGACGTCAGTTCTACCATCATTTGCATATTCCAAGAAACTGTATTAATTTGACTGGGTTCAGGATATAGGCGTTCTTCTTTGCTCTGAAGGCAAGTTGAACAGTTTTGCTGTTTAGAATCAGGGCCTCAGATAGAGAAAAAACCCAGAGCTCTGTAACTGCTTTTCTTGAATATTGTAATAAATATCTTAAAGGACAGATTTGTCTTTGAGCATTCTTCATAAAAGAACATGCAGGACTGCTTGAGTCCTACACTGAGAACAAGTTAAGTAACTGGATCCATAAGACACATTGCTCTCCAGCTGAGGATCCAACTGGACAGACAGTGAATGAGGTCAGGGCTGATTTAAGAACCTCAATACATTATGATTATGTTTCAGGTGCCGATCCTTCAGGGGAATTTATCAGCAGCATTTGATACAGTTGACCATGACATTTTACTTTTTAACCTTGAACATTCCGCTGGACTGAAAGGTACTGTTTTAAACTGGTTTGTTTCCTTCTTAACCGACAGAACCTTTTCTGTTCTTATTGATGGCTACATTTCTAATAAAGCACCGCTCACCTCAGGCATTCCTCAAGGTTCAATCCTGGCCCCTTTACTCTTCTCTTTATATATTGCACCTCTGGCCGCAATTACAGCTAGACATGATGTTCAGTTCCATTTTACGCAGATTACATTCAGATCTACATGCCACTGCTTTTGTCGGACCCAAACGCACTTACCCCTGGATAATTGCGTCCGGGAAATTAAGCAGTGGCTGGCTCAAAATTTTCTTTATCTGAACGAAAGTAAAACTGAATATATTCTTATCAGTCTTGACCCGAATACAGATGCAGACAGTTTTGGAGCCTCTGCCCTCCCACTTTCCGATTCAGTGAAAAACCTCGGAATAATACTGGATTTTAACTTTGAGAAGCAGATTAGGGCCGTAGTTAAGACTTGTTTCTTTCATTTAACACTTCTAACGAAGGTGAAACCTTTTTTTATCACATGCAGACTTGGAGATAGCCATCCATGCCTTTATTACCTCGCGTTTGGATTATTGTAATGCCCTTTATGCGGGGGTGTCTCAGTGTTTGCTCCGGAAATTACAGTTAGTTCAAAATTCAGCAGCCCGGCTTTTAGTTAATGCGCCCAGGTTTGCCCACATTACCCCGATTCTCCGCCCCCTTCATTGGCTTCCCATCGAGTATAGAGTTAAGTTTAAGACTCTGGTATGCGTTTTTAAGGCCATCCATGTCCTGGCTCCACCTTATTTGTCTGACATGCTATCAATTTATGTGCCACGAAGAGCCTTGCGCTCTTCAGAACAGTTGTCTTTGGTTGTCCCGCAATTGCGGTATAAAAAATGGGGTGACGGATCCTTTGCTATATATGGCCCCAGACTCTGGAATTCCCTTCCCTTAGAGGTGCGATCGAAGTAGGAACTAGCGGTTTTTAAGTTGGCCTTAAAACCTTTTTCTTTAGGCAAGCTTTTGAGGCATAGATTGGCTCTTTTCATTTAAGGGTATGTTAACATGTTTTGTTATGTTTTCTTAAATTTGCTCTGGGTTTCCTCTGGTTCTTTTTTATTTGTTTTTTATATTTGCAATCTTATTTTGATTTAGTGATTTTACTTGTTTGTATTTTTGTTCTGTTGTACAGCACTCTGGGCTCCTACGAGTTGTTAGTTTTGTTGCTATAGAAATAAAGTTTATTATTATTATTATTACATTTGACTCAGTCACTTACTCACCTCGCCCACTGTGTGTGTGCCTCTCTGTGACATAAGCTAAACATCTAGCTAGCTAGCTGTCTCAGTCTAAACTGTACATTCAAAAATACAGAAAGGAGTGGGAATCAAACCCTGAATTCAAAGGCTTTAAAGGGGAATTGTATGTTTACTTCAGGGTGAATTTTATTTTTAGTTTTCATTTTACTGACAATATCAAGCTTTATGTAGCAACAAGTTTGTTCCCTTATAGTTAAAAGGGTTCTGCTCCGCGTGGAGTGGCAGCGAGCTGCAACAGCTCTGCCTCTTTTGTGTTTATTTTCATATTTCCTTGGGCTTCTGTGTTTGCTTTTTTTTTTTTTTTTTTTTTTT